TTCTATGGTTTGGGCCATGGAGCAATTGTATAAGAGGGAATGGAAAGGAGGGAGTTTTCGAAAGTTAGTTGAATGAGTGGGTTGGAAAGATTGAAAATTTTACTCTTTCCGATTTCACTCACTTCACTAGTTTTGAATCACTCTTTCCTCTCCTTTCTCCTCTTCTATGGCTAGTATTTAAATTTTATCTATGGTGAAACTAACGGGTAATTCTTCTCCTTTTCGGCTCTTCTATAGCAAGGTGGTTTTTTTATTATAGCAAAGACCAACTTCATACAATAGTTCAGTTTGACATTGTTGGGCCAATTGGTTGGTATTGGGCCCATTCAACCAATTACGCAAGCCCAAAACTGATTTTTAACCAAAACAAAATAAATTTACTACGTCCTGTCACTCACCCATGAGTAAGTACTCTCTCACTGACTTCAACCTTATACTAGCACATGACTTTTCTTATTTATTACTTTTTTTAATTTTGTAATTAAATGTGTATTTGTGATTAGTTCACATCAGCTATTAGTAGGATATACCTACTAACCAACCAAATATGAGTAGGTAAATATTGTTTATATATTATTTTTGAATAATAAAAAATCTACAATCATTGTCAAAAATTTAATTTTTTTATCTCAAAATAAAAAAATAAAATTAATTCTGAAATATCATCTTTGGCAGAAAAACATGTTCCTTTGCATGAACTTAAACATATTAAAATCAATAATAAGGACTATTTGGTACGTATTTTGTTTTTAATATTTTTGTTTTTGTCGGGTACTGTAGCAATGAACAATGAAAAAAACATATTTGTTGAAAAATGTTTTGTTTTGTACAGTAGTGAAACGTTTCGTGAATATTGCCCAAAAATCAAAACACCAATTTGGTGACAACCGGTATTGTAGCGATGAACAGTATATATATATTTTAAAAAACTCTTAAATGACATTTTTAAACTAACAATTATATTATTCAAACTTGTAATATTTTTTTACCAAACATATTTTTATATTTTTGTTTCAAAAAATCTTACAACAAATATACGTTACCAAACATGCTTTCAATTACTATTCAAATCACTCTATAACAAAACACATGTTTTGTTTCGGGTTAAAGCAAAACATCAAAAACAAAATGTGAACCAAACAGTCCTAAGCTTTTGGTGTATCACTCTATATTTTGGTGAAAATTTTGCTGAAAAATAATGCAAAATTGATAAAATACCAAAACCAGTAGCATGCTTATCCTTATTTGTCTCCACAAGTATCCACATTTATAACCATCGCTTTAGTAAACATGCTTTTGAATGATTTCACATGTATTACGATGAATTCCAATCAATGTTTGAATGGTGAGGCCTCTTCCACTAGTCAACTCACCGAGATACTAAAGAATTTGCTAGAAAATCTTGAGAGGACTCAAAATTCAAAGTGGGATTTAAATTTCTGAGCATAAAGTGGGGGCATTGATAACCTAGTGCCAGAAAATCCCAAATCACATACGCAATGGACAAGCGACTCAAGTTCAAATACTAAGGAAAAGGGCATAGGGACCCGCTTGGAATTTTACACTTTGGGGAATCAGAGGCTAAAAAACAACCACATGAATGAAAACACACACACTCTCTCTCTCTCTCACGCACACGTGTAGTTGATTGCGTATATAAAAATTGAAAGAACAGTTGTAGTTAAGGGGAGAAAAACTTCAATACGTCAAGAATACTCTATTCCTAGTAATATTATTCACTAATTAAATACTAGATATGATTAAATAAAATAGATGTATTTTTATTTATGTGATAATATATAATTGACCGACAACAGGCTACTTGGGTGAACGGGATGCAATATGTTGAAACTCTATTCTGGATTCCGGAGTACATTTTAGAAGAAAAAAAGGTAAAGAAATTTGTTGATGTTCAAGTTTTGGATCTTGGTAGGACGCCAAAAACTAGGAGAAAAAAATGACAAACAACCATTATGGTTTTCCCTTTCCTAATAAGTCTTTTAAATTGATTTTGAATGGAAGGTTGATATTTTATCTGAACCATATATTCTTTTGAGGCTGAAACTAGATGTTAGAGAGTTGGAAATCAACCAACCATCCAAGCCAAGCCAAGATTGGAAGGTGCAATAACTTAAATAGGGATTTTGTTAGTCAAGTAGAATGGTCTGAAAAAAAGCCATGAGGACTATTGCTTCTGTTTGGAAATTATTGATTAAACTAATTATCTGTCACACCATTTTTGTACATAAATTTTTTGAGGAAGGGTATCTCTTAATTTCTTTAATTTCGAGGTAATATGCACATTTGGAAAATTGTAGAATGATATGCCAGGCAGAAACTCTACAAGAGTTGGCGTTATAACAATTCAATTTGTGTATTTTCAAAACAAAGCATGAAATTAATTAAATATTAGAAAATCCCCCTATCACAATCATACAAATTCTTAAGACCACCACATATTTATGAGTCTTAGTTCTTTATAGTACGGTTATTGTATTCGATGGTCCACATCACTCACACGTACATTTAACGGTAGTGATGGACCTAGAAACTTGTTTCAGTGGAGCGATTTTAAATAGTTATGGGGCGTGAGTGAGAGAAAAAAAATAATAATAATAAAAATCAATAGGGGCAAAGAATAAAGTTACAGGGCATTTATATAATTATTCAATATTTTCTAAGTAAAAATAAAAAATTTAAAAATTTCAGTGGAGACAAAGGATAAAGCTATGTGGGCATTTATATAATCACCTAAGAATTTTTAGATAAAACTAAAAAAAATGTAAAATTCCAGTGGGGCTAGTGTCTCCACTAGGCCTCACATGGGTCCGTCCCTGTTTGACGATCCGTGCGAATAATTTGAACCATCGATATAGTGCAAACACAATAAGGCACAACCATGGTAATATTGAATTTTTCAATCAAAATAATACATGCTAAGAGAAAAATTAGTTATTACATTGAACATCTAATTGTTGGTTTGATTGTGTAGCATATGGGAGGCTCGTACTCTTAGCATGAAAATAGTTTTGTTTTGTTTTTTTTTTTTTTTTTTAACCAAATAAAAACTATGGTCCTGATTGTACTTTTGTGTTTGTGAGCCTCCTCCACATGCATGGAAAGCCATGAGCTATAATAATCCACAAAAGCACAAAAAAGTGGGGACAGAGAATTTAATATAACACCACCAAATGACTTAAAATCTTAAGAGACACGTGACTCACAGACCGTTAAAGTTACATGAGTGAAAAAAGTCTGCTGAAGGCTTCTTGACGGACAGTTGAGTAACAGAACTTCTTCTTCCAGTACCACAGAGCAACAGATCTTCTTTACAACCCTTTTTCTGGTTGGGCATGTATTTGGCATACTTTCAAAATTCAAAGTCAACAAGGTTTATTATGCCCCTTTGTGGGTGGAGGGAGGGAGAGAGAGAGAGAGAGAGAGTACAGTCTTGCACGCTAACGGTTTCTTAACCCGTACGGACGGCCAGGGATTTTAAAGGGCCATCATATTAGACACAAAAACACTCTGATTTAAATAATATGTTTACGAATAATTACATATATTTAAGAGAGTATTGCTATTTTGCCCGATTTAAAAAAACCGATATATTACGATTTTCACGTGTATGTTACTGTATGGACTACTTAAAAATATAAATATATCAATATAGCTGTTAACAAAAGTTAGAAGATCTTTTTTTTTCTCTCTATTCAAATAAAGATATAATGCCCATCCTCTCTTTGGAACGCCGTGCAATCATCATCGGAGACATAGTGGAGACCGTGAATATCTACTACCGGCGCGATCGAGCACCAATTTGCAAAATTTGTTCAAATTACGATGAAATTGCATCTCATCTTACTGTACTCTTCTTTCTCAGTGTATGTATATATGAGAGATGAGAGAAAAAAAATTAACAGAAATCTCACAAATCCATATCTTAATTGCTTTAAACTTGGAAGTGAAAGAAAATTGAAAATCTTCCATCGCTAATCGAAAATCTTCTCTCTTTTCTTTTCCGTGTGTTTTTTCTTGGATGGAAATCTTATATGATATTAAAACAACAGATTAAGATAAAAATCTCATTCAGTGTAACTAGTCTTTTAATGGAAAAAATATTTTATAAAGAGCAATATTTCAAAGAAAAATATAAAAAGGATTAACGTACAGAGCGAAAAAAATTAAGACGATAAAAAAGGAAATAAATTAATCATACGTATTTAATATGGTGTGAGGGGGCATGAGAGAACCATTTATTTATTGTCACGTTGAAATTGACATTTTGTCGGTTTTTTTTGTCGCCTAAAATATCATTTTCCTATTTAAGATTTACCTTATCTGTCATGAGTCCAAAATCCTAAATTCTCTATCATGACATATTTATTGAAATTAGCATAAAAAATATTTTCATTAATTCCTTAAATGATTGAACTTATGTAAAAGTTTTTCAAACGACTAAAATTAACACCACCTGCAAGGTCAAATTCATATATTTACACAAAATCTCAAAGTAAAACTTCATTATTTGAAATTGTCATTTTAATTATTGATTGTGTGATGTTAATACTTGGTCATGCCTATAATTTTGTAAAGAAAACAAAGTTTTAACTTTACAATTAAAATTTTAGAAAATTAGATTTGTTGCAACCGACATAGTCGCTATAGACACATATGAGACCCATCATAATTTATTGTGACAGTGGAAGGGCAAAGCTTTAAAATTTTAAATTATTATTATGAGATATAATGAAAAAATATGATTTAATTAATTATAAAGTATATATTTATTATTAATGATCAAAATTTTAACCTTTAAATATATATATATATCAGACCTAATTCTACCGAAATCTATCCAAATCCGAATTTTGGAGAAGGGAGGGCAGTAACTTTTTACTGTACATTTTAGAGATGAGATGACAAGTGTCATGTGGATGGCCTTATACCTGTATTTCAAATCACAATACCAATCTCATTTCTTCTTTTACCCTCTCATCGCATCTTCTCCCTCCAAACCACACACCCAACCCCTCTCTCCCTCTCTCTCTCTCTCTACAAAAACAGACCTCTCTCGTTCTCTCGCCTTATTTGCTCAACAACACAGCTCGCTCTCTCTCTAGAACAGAGCTTCTCTCTCGCGCTCTCCGCTGCCATGGCGGTGGCAGAGTTCTCTCCTTCATACACCAAAACTCGTCTTCACTCTCCACAGCTCTCCTATTTATCTACTCGTTTCACAAATCGCCGAAGTAGTCTCTCTCTCCGACGTCTCCCTCGAACTCGAATTGCCAGAGTGGTTTGCTCCGTTGCATCCAAGTAATTAGCTTCGTCTTCTGAATTCTAATTTCTATATATGCTGATTCAATTTCTCATTCTGTTATCTTTAAACTCTTTCTTCATTCTGGTGATCCAATTCTTCTTGTTATTTATCTCTCCAGTCAAGTTCAAGCACCAGTTGCTGTTCAGAATGAAGATCCAAAGACCAAGACCGAGTGCTTTGGTGTGTTCTGCGTCACTTATGACCTCGTAGCCGTACGTTTTTCTTCACTCCCTTAGGTTTAATTCAGATTTTTATTGATTTTAGTTGTGAATTTGAGTTTATATCATATTCTTAGCTGGGTTTCTTTGTTTTCTATTTAGATTTTCTTATACATAGTTTTGGGTATTTAATATACAATAGAATTGCATTTCTATTGTTTGTCGATATGTGTAGGCTAAGTAGTTAAAAGGAAATGACTATGTGAATGAAGACTTACACTAATAAGCCAAAAAAGGGCTAGCCCAGTCACGAAGCTCCCGCCACTGCTAGGTCTGGGGAGAGTTGGATGTAAATAGACTTAATTCCGTATGCGGAGAGGCTGTTTCTCGTTTCGCTCACACTAATAAGCATAACTAACTAATATGGGCGGCTCCATTTCTAAGACTAGTGGGATATTGTTGTGAAATGAATTAATGAAAGGGAAGGGTGGTGGTAAAAATTTTGTGTAGTTCTTAATATACTCAGGGTTTATCCTTATTGATTGTTCTTTTAGGTTTTGGAAAATTCTCCAAAGTATTTATTTATTTATTTTTAAATTTTTATGATTGATTTTCTTAACTTCACAACATGTCCAATGTCGAAACTTAATTTTGAAATTCATTGGAGATGGAAACTAAAGGGAGGTGACGGTCACGTGACTTTTGATGTATGCTCATTTCCAATCTTGTTGCATACTATTTCTCTTGATTATTTAAAAATTCCGCTTTGACTTATTTATAGTCATAGACGAGTTTATGTTAGGATTCAATAGAGAACTCTTTCTCTAATTTTACACTTCTTTTTACTGCCTAAAGAGTTTCAATTAGAGAATTCTCCCCGACCCCCATTGCAAACAAATTAGAAAAAGAGAAAAATAATGGCACCATGTTTATGTTATTGCATGCAGCACGTATGTGGCATTACATTGTTGATCTTATTTTTTATGTTAACTTTTATTTCAACATGTTCACAGGAAGAAGAGACAAAATCATGGAAGAAATTAATTAATATTGCTGTTTCAGGTGCTGCTGGGATGATATCTAATCATCTCCTTTTCAAAGTAAGGAAGTCCTCTATTCTTCTCCATTTGACCATGAATTTTGGAATAGAATTAAAGAAGCAATCTATGATAAGAGATTTAAAATACAGCTCTAACTTGACAAAAGGATATTGCAATTGATGTAGTTCAAAATAAGGAGTCGTCCACTGTCAATGATTCCGTTGCGCTGTTCCCGCTTAGCTTCCTTGAGCCATCCTTCCCTGGTCCCTTCAAAGCCGTTCCTTTTTTAATTCCTTTTGCCAGCACTCGACCAGAAGCTTTCTTTGCTTATTTCCTTGATAAGGGACTCATAAAGAAGGGCACTTCCTGCCTGTCTTTCTTTCTACAGAATGCAATTATCTGAAAACTAGTAAAATAAGGATTGGAATGATTTTTGAATTTACAGTCACCAAATCAAGAGATTAACTTCAGTGCACTAAGAACACGTTATATTGTCCGTTGGAGACTAAGTTCTTTAATTGTGTTGCCCACAGCTTTCATGTGTACCATACCATCCTCCTGAATGAAACTACTCGTATATTCTGAATGAAGCCTTGATCAGTAGTTGAATAATGTCACATTAAGATCCCATGAAACATCATCCAATATTTTACTGTTGGTGGCTGTATTATAGTGCTCAAAATGTTCCAAGGAAAGCAAAATCATAACTCCTGTCACTCCATTTCCTCGGATATCCAACCATGCTCCTAAACACGAAAGAAGGTTAATGTTCTGTTGGTCATAGGTGACAATTAATGACGATATTTTACCATCCATAAAAAAAATGTACTTTTCTAATTTGTAAAACAACATTGTTGCATTCATAACTTTTGCACAAGAAGCTAGGAAGACATTTTTTGATGCATTTTGCTGCAACTAGAACTTGGTATCTTAACTTTTTTAATATGTCAGCTTGCATCTGGTGAAGTTTTTGGACCAAATCAACCTATTGCATTGAAACTTTTGGGCTCTGAAAGGTCATTCCAAGCTCTTGAAGGTATGGTTGTTAACTAAAGTTACTTGTTTCTGAGTCATTGAGCAGCATCTGTATCAGTTATACCATATAACCTACTTTCAAATGTATCCTGGAAGTATATAGTTAAGCATGATTTCACAGTTAAAAATACTGATGGGAGTTATTGAGGGTTAGAATGAATATTTTTGCTACCTTACAAGTTGAAATTTAATAGGTAGAACAAGTTGATATATGCTTTTAAAATCAGATCATTTAAAAAGACACTGCCCATGGCAGCTGAGCTGCATCAACTGTTATGTGAGGCTTTATCACCGTGGTACAAGACTGAGAGTTGTCATTCTTTCAGATCAGGATTTCCCCTAGATAAGAATTTTATGCTGGAACTATAATAAATAAGGTACCAATGGGCATTAGACGAGATGGTAGGATCTCTCCTCCTCAAAGGGGAGGCTGAGTGCTCGAGCCTTACTAGGGGCAATATTGTGGGTGTGTGTTGGCTTGAACTTTAGAGGGAAAAAAGAAGAAGAAGAAGAAGACGACATGAATGCTTTTTGGCATTCAATCATTTACAAATTCACATGCAATCTAGTGTGATAGATTGAATTGTGAATGTTCTCCATTGTTGATGCAACTATGTTTATCCTCAATTATGCTGTCTGCCAAGTATGAAGTTTTGAATTCTCTTAAATGAAAATTGTTGTATATTTATGCTCATAATGATAAATTAATGTATGCAGGAGTTGCCATGGAACTAGAGGATTCACTGTATCCTTTGTTGAGGGAGGTGAGTATTGGCATAGATCCTTACGAGGTGTTCGAAGATGCAGAATGGGCTCTTCTGATTGGAGCAAAGCCTCGAGGGCCTGGAATGGAACGGGCTGCCTTATTAGACATAAATGGGAAAATTTTTGCTGAGCAGGTGCTATGTCTTTTAGCTTTTGGTGTCACTTGTAATTTCCTTATGACAAATCAATTGGGAATCATACTTTGTTTCTTACATAGTTTTTGGATAAAACATCACAGGGGAAAGCTCTTAATGCTGTTGCGTCCCGTAACGTTAAAGTGCTAGTAGTGGGAAACCCCTGTAATACCAAGTAATAAACTTATTCTCTTGATACATAAGCGTGTGGTTCCTTCTGATGCCTGTCATTGCTAATAATATTATTCTTCTTCATGCAGTGCATTGATTTGTTTGAAAAATGCTCCAAACATACCTCCAAAAAATTTTCATGCTCTGACTAGATTAGATGAAAATAGGGCAAAATGTCAGGTATAACTCGCACAAGATTTACTTGTGTTGATGATATTTAGTCATTATTGTAGTTACTTGAAAGGAAATAGATATACTAAACTTTGTAAAAGTTTGGTTTTTTTTTTTTTTTTTTTTTGTAGCTGGCCATCAAGGCAGGTGTTTTCTATGACAAAGTGTCGAATATGACCATCTGGGGAAACCACTCGACCACTCAGGTCATTGAATTGATTCCTTTGCTAGATTTTGGATAGCTTATATTCGTATCCCTATATTAATGGTATTTTTTATTGTAATTTTCATCAGGTTCCTGACTTTTTAAATGCTAGAATCGATGGCATTCCTGCCAAAGAGGTTATTAAGGATACCAAGTGGTTGGAGGAGGAATTCACTGAAATGGTCCAGACGGTAAGATCTAAAGAATCATATTTATGCATCTTTACTATATGTGTAGTCTATTGAATTGGCGTAGTCTGTTGTTAAAGATTCTGATCCTTGACTTTGATCACTAAATGGTTTTAAGTTGATTTGCAGAGAGGTGGCGTGCTTATTAAGAAATGGGGAAGATCTTCAGCTGCATCAACTGCTGTGTCAATTGTTGATGCCATCAGGTCTCTTGTAACTCCCACCCCAAAGGGTGATTGGTTTTCTACTGGAGTAAGTTCACATTTGCTTTATTGTAAAGGAATTTTTAGTCGTAATCGGATTTTTATGCTGTTAGTTGAACATATTAGTTTTTCTTGAGCAATTATGTTGTTTAATATTCATTAACTTCATTTACATTAGTGGAGATGAAAAATAATGTCCAACCCTCCTGCATAGAGAACATTAAAACAATATAATTTGCATATATAATGGTTTTTCTGTATAGCAACCAATTCTTCCAACCGTGTTTGAGTTTCATCTATGTAATTCTCTCCAAAAGAATTGAGTGTCATGTTCTGTAATATATATGATAAGTAACAATCATTTGCACATATGTGCATTTACAAACTCGGTAGCTTGAGTAGCTTTGAAGTTGTTGGTGGTATATAATCTCTGTTTTATAAGTTCACAAACTTGCACGTGTGTAGGTCTACACCAATGGAAACCCTTATGGTATAGCAGAGGATATCATTTTCAGCATGCCGTGCAGATCGAAAGTAAGTTATTTACTAGAAGTTTTCTTTTCTATTGAATTTATCAAGATCGCCTCTCAAATATTATACCTATTTTTCAGGGGGATGGTGATTATGAACTTGCCAAGGATGTAATATTTGATGACTACCTTCTCAAACGAATAACCAAGGTATGAGCATGTTGAGTGTTGGCCTTTTCTCAGGTTGGAAGGTGCGAGTGAGGTGTGTTTGAGTAACGTCTCAAGTTCAAATCTTGCCCATTCTTATGCTTTTATTTCATTTTTTTCCCAATATATATTTGTGAAAAAGAAAAAGAAAGAGAAAAAGAAAAAGAGAGAAAAAGAAAAGAAGCCAAAAGCATAAGTATAAACTTCAAAGGAAGAAATATAGAATAAACTTTTTCTTTGTATTAGCACACTATTCACAAGTTTACACGGGTTCTCTTTATAAGAGAGAATACACGCACATAACTAGCTGGCCTAATTAATAATTTCCTAATATACAATATTTGACCAATATTCTATTTACAACAAATATCATCCAAATATTATATTTACAGCTAATAATATTTGTTAATATTACTATCGAACCTTTCCTTTTCAACACTTCCCCTCAAGCTGGTTTGAAGATATCCTCCATAGCTAGCTTGCCAATTAGTCTGTCGAACTGTCTTGTAGGAAGTCCCTTTGTAAGTACATCTGCAACTTGCTTGGTAGTAGGAATGTACGGCATACAAATTAATCCTTTTTCGAACTTCTCCTTGATGAAGTGTTTGTCTACCTCCACGTGCTTTGTTCTGTCATGAAGCACTGGATTGTGAGCGATCGAAATAGCAGCTTTATTGTCACAGTACAATTTCATAGGCAACGGATTAGAGACCTTTAATTCATCCTATAGTCTCTTAATCTATAACACCTCACAAATTCAATGAGCAACTGATCTAAACTCGGCCTCTGCGCTGCTTCTTGCTACTACATTCTGTTTTTTACTCCGCCAGGTGACAAGGTTACCTCCAACAAAGGTGCAGTAGCCAGAACTTGACCGTCTATTAATAGCACTCCCAGCCCAATCCGCATTAGTATAGGCTTCAACTTGCAAATGCCCACGGTTTTTTAACAGTAGACCTCTTCCAAGGGTCCCCTTTAGGTATCTGAGAATTCTTTAGACTGCATCAAAGTGTTCTCGTCCAGGTGAATGCATGAACTGGCTAACCATGCTGACTGCAAAAGCTATATCTGGACACGTATGCGACAAGTAGATCAGTCTTCCAACAAGTCTTTGATACTGCTCTCTATTCATAACTTCTTCATCTTTAGAAGGTGGCAGATTAAGGTTGGGCTCAATGGGTGTCTCGGCTGGTTTACATCCTAGCAGACCTGTCTCACTAAGTAAATCAAGAACATATTTACGTTGATTCACAAATATACCTTCTTTGGATCTAGCAAACTCCATTCCTAGAAAGTATTTTAATGCACCCAAATCCTTGATCTCAAAGTCAGCGGCAAGTCCCTTTTTCAATCTCTCCAATTCTTCATTGTAATTACCTGTCAAGACTATATCATCCACATAGACAATTAACACTGCAACCTTGCCTTCTCTACTGTGTTTGTAGAACATGGTATGGTTAGCTTGGCTCTTACAGTAGCCACAATTCTTCACAACTCTACCAAATATCTCAAACCAAGCTCTAGGGGACTGTTTGAGACCATACAAAGATTTTTTCAGTCTACAGACTTTATTAGGTCCTAATTTTCCCTCAAACGCAGGTGGTAGATTCCTAAAGACCTCCTCCTCAAGATCTCCATTTAAAAAGGCATTTTTTACATCTAATTGGTGTAATGGCCAGCTGAAATTCACAACCAAAGATAACAAAATTCTGATTGAGTTTATCTTGGCTACAGGAGCAAAAGTTTCATGATAATCAATTCCATAGTTCTGGGTGAATCCTTTTGCTGCTGGTCTTGCCTTGTACCTCTCTATGCTACCATTAGCTTTATATTTCACAGTAAAGACCCACTTGCAACCTACTGTTCTTTTCTCCTTAGGTAAATCAACTATCTCCCAAGTACCACTTCTTCTAAGAGCATTCATCTCTTCCATCACTGCTAACTTCCAATTCGGATCATCAAGAGCTTCCTGAATGTTTCTCGGGACAAACAAGTGTGAGATTTTTGAGGTAAAAGCCCTATGAGTATGAGAGAGTTTTTCATAAGAAAGGTATTTAGCAATAGGATATTTTGGATTTGGATATTTGATTCAAATACCTTTCCTAACAGCTTTGGATATTTAATTCAAATACCTTTCCTAACAGCTATAGGAATATCAAGGTCTGATGGTTCTTGGTTAGGAGAAACAATAGGAACTGAAGATGAGTTAGGAACAGAATTACCTGTGATATCTGGAGGTCTAGTTCCTGAAGGTTGAGATTGATCATTTCCAAGAGGAATAGGCTGACTTTGACTATTTTGATGAGGTATTCTCCGAGTATAAACCAGAGGCTCAGTATTGGGAACTTTAGTGCCCGGTTGTAGTGATTCTTCCCCTGTTTCAGATACAGTAATGTTTGGCACTATATGACTTGTTTTCATTGGTTTTATCACATTATTCCTGACTTTGAATTTCGGGAATAACAGTAGGATGAGGTGAAGGAGTCAAAATCACATTTGGTAAAGGAGTAGGAGATAAATCCCAAAAATTTTCTTCCATCACCTCATTCGCCCCTGAAGAGAATTTTTGGGAAAGTAGGATTTATTTTCAAAGAAAGAAACATCCATACTTGCATAAAATTTTCTTGTTTGGGGATTATAGCACTTATATATCTTTTGATTAGAAGCATACCTTATGAAAACACATTTTTCAGCTCGAGGATCAAGTTTGGACTAAGTATTATTGGGTATATAAATAAAAGCTATGCAGCCAAAAACCTTTAAAGGTAAATCCGAGTATATCCTTGATAATGGAAAAATTCTTTTGAAACATTCTAATGGCGTGCTATATTTTAAAACAAGTGAAGGCATTCTATTAATCAAATATGAAGCTGTTAAAACAGCTTCCCTCCAAAGATATTTTGGAACATTCAATGAAAACATTATAGCACGAGCCACTTCAAGTAAATGTTTATTTTTTCTTTCAGCAATTCCGTTTTATTGAGGGGTATCTACACATGTAGATTGATGATGGATACCCTTTTCTTTCAAAAAACTCCCCAAAATTTCATTAAAATACTCGGTTCCATTATCGGTGTGAAAAATGCTAATTTTTGGTTGAAACTGAGTTTCAACCATTGTGTAAAAATTCTTAAAATTCTTTTCAACCTCAGACTTTTCATTCATCAAATAAACCCAACATAAACGGGTATGATCATCTATAAAAGTAACAAACAATTTTTTCCTAGAGATAGTAGTGACTCTTGAAGGTCCGTCCCCAAATATCATTATGTATTAAATAAAATGGTTTTGAAGAAGTATAAGGTTTTGGTAAATAAGTAGTACGATGACTCTTAGATAAGCAACAACTCTCACAATAGAACGATGAACAATTCAAATCTTTAAATAAAGTAGGAAACGAATGTTTAAGATATGGAAAGCTAGGATGTCCTAGTCTTAAATGCCAAAACATTATTTGTTCGTAAATAGAGTTAAAACTAACACTACTAAGGCCCTGAGCCTTTTTATTACTGGAGAAGGCCCCATCAAAGTAGTAAAGTCCATCTATTATCTTAGCACTGCCAATCTTCTTCCCCGAGCTCCGGTCCTGAAATTCACAGTAAGAATCACAGAAAATTACACGACAATTAGATTCTTTGGTTTGTTTACTCACAGACAAAAGGTTACAGGCTAGTTCAGGGACATGGAGAATAGATTTAAGATCTATATTCTCGGATAATTTTATCAAACCTTTTCTTGCAATAAGTGAGAAACTACCATCTGCAATTCTAATTTTTTTCAAGGTCAGAACATAGTAAGTGCTAAAAAGATTGGAAAGGCTGGTCATATGATCAGAGGCTCTAGAATCGATGATCCATGGAGTATAATTTAAACAACAAGAGAGGGCATTAAGTGCACTACCTGTTTGTGCAAGAGAAATACTAGGAATACTAGATGAGGAATTAAATTTCAGCAACTTCAGAAGGTGATCCATCTGCTCATTGCTTAAAAGACTTGTCTCAGCTTCATTAGCAGTAGAAACCGCACGCCTATTTCTGTCACCAGGCTTGCTACTCTTCCAATTCGCTGGTTTTCTATGAATTTTCCAGCAGTTCTCCCGAGTATGGCGCGGTTTGTTGCAGAAGTCGCACCAGGCCCGTGGCTTTTCTTCAGTTTTTCGCTGAAAATTGACTGCTTTATTAGCAGCAGTCTCTGCAACAATAAGGGTGGAACTCTTAACAAGTCCGCTAGTAGTCTTCTTCCCCAACATTACATGTTTGCGGCTTTCTTCTCTTCGAACCTCAGCAAACACTTCACCAATTGGTGGAAGTGGAGTCCTGCCAATGATCCGTCCTCGTACTTTATCAAATTCCACGTTGAGCCCAGCAAGGAATTTGTAAATGCGATGAGCCTCTACGGTTCGTTTGTAGTGATTGGCATCTTCAGTGGATTTCCATTCATAATCATTGAACAGATTTATGTCCTGCCAAAAACCCTTCAATGAATTGAAATACTTGGTGATCGAGTCTTCTCCCTGCCTAATATCACCAAGTTTTAGAGTCAATTCGTAGATCTGAGACTGATTTCCCAAATCAGAGTACATCTGATTCATGTTGTCCCAGAGCTCCTTGGCCGTGGAGTAGCACATATAGTTGGAGCTAAAATCCTCGTCCATGGAGTTCGCAAGCCAAGTCATCACCATTGAATTTTCTGCATCCCAGGTCACGTACGTTGGGTCTTCGGTCTTCCGATGCTGGTGCCTTCTTGTCTCCCGTCAAGTACCTGATCTTTCCCCGCCCTCTGATGTACATCCAAACGGATTTGGACCACCGTAAATAATTGTCACCATTAAGGCGAATATTGGTGATCTGAATAGAGTGAGAATCAGTACTGGGGGCTTGGGTTGTCGGATTGGTTGACTGGGTGATAGGCGAAGTTGATATGGAGGAAACGTCAGACATGGTTGATCAACGAAGAAATTGTGCAGAAAAGAAAATTAGGTTTTTTTTTTTTTTCTTCGTTAGGGTGGCTCTGATGCCATATAATCTTGAAAGGAAGAAATATAGAATAGACTTTTTCTCTGTATTAGCACACTATTCACAAGTTTACACGGGTTTTCTTTATAAGAGAGAATTCATGCACATAACTAGCTGGCCTAATTAATAATTTCATAATTTACAATATTTGACCAATATTCTATTTACAGCAAATATCCTCCAAATATTATATTTACAGCTAATAATATTTGGTAGTATTACTATCGAATCTTTCATTTTCAATAATAAGAATGGGCTCGGTACAATATATGGAAGCGCCAATTTTTTTTATACTGAGAGGTCCTATGTATGCAACAAAATACGCTTTTATGCTGAAGAAACAAAGTGGACTCGCACCTCAAATTGTCAAAAAATGAAATAAAAGGACTTTCTTCAGTATAAATACCCCAATGCATGTGGTAACATTCCTCTCCCATTTGATACGACTCTCACTGTTATTTCCCCAGTCTGAAGCCGAATTGCTTGCTGAGAAGAGATGTGTAGGCCACCTAATAGGAGAGGTAAGTATTGTATTTTGCACCATTGGTTCCTTGGGTTGATGCTACAAGTTATATGATTATGTTCTTGCTCTCTTTAGGGTATTCCCGTCTGTGATCTACCGGAGGACACCATGCTTCCTGGAGAAATGTAGAATCAACGAACAAAGAATCCTCATTCAAGAAGAGCAACCTCCGGAGGAAACAGAGACAATACCATATATTAGTCTTCCACTATTATTTATTTACAAGCAGCATAATAATTTAGCATGTAGTGATAAATTTGCTATTTTAAGTCTTTCGGGAAGCTATATGAGGTTTAACGGTCTGCAATGGTCTACACCCGGAGTTTGTACGAATGATGCTATCATTAGTGAGCAGACTCCAGCTACTTTTTCTTCATGAATGTAAATTTACTTTTTCTTCATGAATGTAAATTCCCAAATGTCCTGATGTAAAAGTCGGATTGAACTTGGGTTCATGGCTCTTATTTTTAGTCTTGTTCACAAACATGTACTTGAATCACATGTACTTGAATCTGGTCATCAGATCTCTCACATGTACTTGTCGAGTTGAGCCGTCCGTCGATCAGACATTAAAATGGATGCCGTGGCAATTTTTTTTTTTTTTTGTTTAGTGTTCAGCACCGTGTTGTTGCATGCTCAATTAAATCGTGATCCAACACCATTACTTCCAGCTTGCAATCGAGCAAGTATTAGCCAATGGTGATGGTTATATCACACCATTAATTCCAGCTTGCTCGATTGCAGAGGATCAAGCAAGTATTAGCCAATAGTGATGGTCGTCCCACTAGAGCTTTGTGCGTAGACTAGGTTTATTCAATAAACTATCATATATATATATATATATATATTTGGCTCAAATTAGTTTGTTCGCTCATCACCATTAAAGCCATTCGTTGACATGCAGTCAATGGCAAACGAAGAATAATTTTGAAGATTATCAGCTTTTGATTTATTTTAGATTACCAAACAAACTAATTTGAGCAAAAAATTTAATTTCTTTCTTTATTTTCTTTTCTTTTTTGTCAAATTTAATTTTCGTGAATAAATCAGTAAAAGTTTAAACGAATATAGATATAGAGAAAATCCTATTATCTAGCTGGGAAAAGAAATATGGTTGATGTTAGAAAATTCAAACATCCCTAATGCAAATCAACAATCCATAACACCAGAAATAATAAAAAAATAAAAATTCCTGCATGCCACTATTCTCCCATATGAACGACCTAAAGAATTCATTGATCTTAACAATATACATTCCCTTTCTCAACATTTTGTTGAAATCCCACCGTATCAATTAGGATAATAGAATGCCACAACCGTTCAAAACAATACATGTAAACTAAATTGAAGTTTCATCCTACTCAAGAACTGAGATCTTGAGCTGTGTAACCATGTCATGGCTTCTTCACCAGACGGTTTATTCCCATAATTTGCATCTGCATGACTCAACCTACCCAAAATCTCGACAGAAACTATAAACAAACAAGACAGTTTTAAATAGTTGCAGAACATATATCATTTCAATTTTGGCATAGAATTAAATAACAGACAATAATCTTGCACAAAGTTATGTATCAAGAGTATCATAAGTTAAGTATTGATCAAGTCTTCGAGAATTTTTAACCCAGGTACTGTTTTGGGATATGTTATACCAAGCCTTCTGATTCAAGAAGCATTACCAGTGCGGATATAGGTCCCAATTTTGAAACTCATAGAAAGAATCAAGACACAGATGAACATAAGGTAGAACCAACCCCGAAACATTGCTGTTCCATACTTCCCCAAGTGTACGCCAACCATGGGTTCCAGACTGCCAGAATTCATATTACTTCGTGACAGGCCAAAAGAGAGGGCGATACTGATACCCCTATGCTTACTCAATGACCAGTCTGTCCCATTGCCACTCAAAGTTGTGTTTCTAACATGAACCATTCCAGCAGTAACATGAACTGAACTGGAAGACTCAGATGCATGATTCTGCAGAAGAGCAGCATTTTTCGTAGGGAACTCTGAAGCAAATGCAGGAGGAGCATAAATGCTGCCTAACAAGTGATGGGCCTGCTTGACGAACAGAGACCGAGTATCTGTACCATACGACACCACGGTTAACCCAAAACAAATAGTGAATTAGAAAGGCAGGCAGTGCCCACCTTATACTGCAACTAAAAATGTAATTTCAATGCCAAAAACTTCATTAGAGGAGCTAGTGGTTCTATATAAAACTAGAATAACATTAAGAACATTACCTGATTTGAATTCTGAAAATTCTTGCTTTGAAGAAGAAGCAACATCACTATCGTGTCCCATTAAGGGCTGTTGGCTTGTCATAGCCATTTGATGGGCCTGGTCAGCTAAAAGATTCTCAGTTCCAATCATCTTCTGACAATCAAAAGCCATATACTGTGAGCTGTCATCATTCGCATCAAAGAATGTATCAGTCGTGTCAAAACCAGAGGGATATGCCCCAATAGGGTTCGAAAGGTCATTAGTCTCGAGGAATTCTCCTTCAAATGGTAGGTCACTGGTAGTATCCAAGAATGGTTCATCTAGTAAATAATCTACAAACTCAGGATTCACAGTATTGCTTGATTCACCAATGTATTCATGTTTGACTGTTTTTGCATCCATATCATCATATTGCACTGGCAAATCAAATAATTTCTGGCCATCAGGCTGTTCTAGACCACAATGATTTTCACCCATACCCACCAAGAAATTTTGAGCACCATCAGTGAATTCCGTAGCCTCTTCAATGTAGTTGCTATTATCCCCATAATCAAAGTTTACAGGCAAGGGAGCAACTTGTGATCGGACACCTGCATCTAGAATCTGTAGGGGAAAATAAAAATAAAATTAAAAAGAGTATTCTCCACAATTTCAATAAAAACATGTACAATTAAACCTACTCAAAAAGAAGAAGGAATAAGAGATCATATACTGATATAAGCAGACTATGGTGCTTGAAATTTCATTCAAACAAACCAAAGAAACAATCGTCAACCAAATTGTAGGATACAAGGCAAATTTCAACAACTAATTGGTGGAAGTGCAAGAAAAGAAAGAAACAGATGGATCAAGAAAAAGTTGAAGAGGTTCTGTTGGTTGGTGACTCTTCCTATGTTAAGAGAACACTTCTCCAAACTAATGTAGCACTGCCAACTTATATAAAGTGCCCACAAGACGATGTCTCCCATACCCAACACCCATAGAAATGAATTTATGTATGCTCTCCAACAACCTATAAAATATTAAAATATAAATCAGTTACTTTATCAAGGTAACATTCCACTTTAAGGGCTCACCTTCCATGGTTTAATATAGGTAATGTGGTCTAACATTCCACTTTAAGAGCTCACCTTCAAACCGAATCTAAATCATTGTTTTTTATATCTTAAAAGCCATAAAACCATTAGGAAACTTCATAAAGCAATTCAAACAAAGCTCAAGTTCCACATTTTTAAAAGGAACACCCAAACCATCTTGATAGTCATCTCCTATTTGTTAAAATTTAGATACTTTGCCTTAGAATCACATGTTCTTTTCACCTGCAAATAATTAATTTGATCTTCTTAGAGAAATATATTAACTTTGTTCTTCAAGGAATCAAAATTTTATACAAATCTTCATTACAAACATTTATGCTTTTGTTTATGCTGGATTAATAGAACTAGAGGAAAACCAAGTACATGTATTCTACCAATATTTATATAACAATTCTCAATCACCATTACAATATCACACCATGTCAAACAATAAGAATCCAAGTGCTTTTTGTACCACAGCTACCTACCTTAGGCAAGATAATATAATTTTAAGAACTCCACTATTGTAAGAGAACTGACGGTCAAATAGAGGGTGGCACTTCAATCGGTTCTCATATATATTAGGAATTAAACAAGATCCTATAACAAGGAATGCCATTGCACAAACACAAAAGAAGATGTGTACGTTGAATGAGATAGAAATTATGACTATATGAAGAACTTGGTTTTGTTCATGGGGACCTGGAAAGGAGAAGCATTAGCAGAATAAGATGCATTTTTTAATAAGATCAAGAAAATAAATAAGTAAGAAAAATCAGACGAAAGAGGAGCTCAGTAAGTTGACTCCCTATGAGTAAATATAAGGAACTCTTTGCCTTTAATCTTTTACTTTTCACTTGAGCGATGTATTTGACCCTTGGCTTTTGATGGGCGTCAGTTCGTGACTTGAAATGATTTGTCCATATATGTTGAATCTTTTAATCACATTTGTACATATCTTTCTTGTGTCAACCATAAATTCTTAATCTTACTATGAAAAACAGTCCATACATGGCACTTCTTGCAGTGATCTTAAATCCTTAATGGCAAATTACTTTCTCAACTCCTTTCTTAATTTTTCTTTTTAACCTATGTTACCCGGACTCGGGTACAGGTGTCGGACACGGGTGCGTGTCTAGGGGTTGGATTCATCAATCTATCAATTTACAAGATACGTGGACACGGCTCAAAAGTGTCCAAATATTGGACACGGGTACTTGGACACTTTGGAAAGTTAAAAAAAAAAATTGGAAGATTTTTTTTTATGTTTGAGACATCAATCATAAAACTAAAAATAAAAAAATATATCAATTGTACTTTTTTATAAACATTTTATAATTATTAATACCATTTGTTTGCCTCATTTGATTGGTGGCATGGCCATAGTCATGGCTATGCATTCCCGTGTTACTACCGGACCCTGCAACTATTTGATGGGAACCTATAATCAGAAATTCTAAGGGCTCCTTTTGGGCGGGTTTGGGCTTGGGCTTGGGCTAATATGCAACTATTTAATGTTTTGTTAAAAATCAATATATCTAAACATTGTAAGAGCTTATCAACTCCACAAAGTCCATTAATGACATCTAATCACTTTTGCATGGTTCACAAGATCATGAAAATTCAAGTGTTGAAGTTCATGATCAATATTCTACAGATGTAATATATAGCACATCCACAGATACCATGACGTGGATATCAAAATGCGGGAGGCAGATTCAATGAACAATATCAGCTGATTTCAGCTGAAGGTCAGATGAAATTTTAACAGGATTTTTTAGCTTAGCTTGTAATTGGTGTCAGCTACTTGATCTGGTTGAACTCGCAAGCCGCACAATGGTATGTTTCAATCAAACACTTCAGCAACTAGGCAATAGGCAGTAGCCACAAAGAATTTTTGACCCGTCATTGAAACTTTGTTGTATACTTGTATGTTCCTTGCGTGTACATGGATCTTAGCCTTTTTTTTTGTTTTTTAAGATGAAGGTTATATCCTGTGAGGAAAGCAAACAAGGATCAAGTAGGATATTTTTTCCAGTTCACCGTTGACTGTCAATGCGTAAGAGGTATTCACACCCCCAGTGATTGCCAGAAAAATTAAATACAAATGGTTTTAAGTATGAATACACCATATACATATATACATACATGTGTGTGTATCCTCGGTACTTGAATTGACACACTAATTGTTTGAAAATAATGGAAGGTTGACAGACATAATCATGCATAGCCAAGTTATATAAGGAAGCACTACTCGATCCAACAGCTAATCTCCTTTTTTCACTTTTGTTAAACATGTGTATAAACTATAAACAAGAAGGTACTTGTGCATGTATAAACACTAAAATTAGATAAAACAGGCACCTGCTCAAGGTCAGTTCCATCAAGATAAGCATCATCGCCAACTACCAGCTCTCCCGCAAACTGCTGACCAGGTACCATAACCAGCTCATCGTCCTCCCATTCCTCCTCAACAAATGGGGCCCCATATCGTTCTCCATTCTTTGGCCCTGTACCACTCTTTTGAAATATTCTGCAAAGCACAAATGCATCCTTCTCCACCCCAAAGAAAAAACAGAGAAAAAGGAAAAGGAAATATTATATCAAAACCCCAAATCCATAATAGTCCATTTTTCTGAAATACCGCATTAATATTCCACATGCAACAAATTCAATTTCACCAACTTTCTTGTTCGCATTCTCCCACCTAAATTCTCAGAAACTGAAAATATATATATAAGGTGCATCTAGATATTTTTATCACCATTGATATAAGGTACATAGTTCTTTATCATCATTTATATACTGTACATAGTTCTTCCTTTAAAAAAAAAAAAAAAAGGTAAGTCAGCACAAAGTTCTCACCTTAAGGACTCCAGCTTTCTCCAATTCCTCATCAACGATTCTGTACTCATGCATCACCCAATTTGTCCTCTCGCCCCGTGGAGCCCGACCACTATGATAAACAAGGGTCTTCTTCATTCCAACAGTCCGTGACCTGTGCAGGATGGGACGGTCCTTTCCAGTCGTCTTCCAATATCCTCTCTCTGTTGCACGATTTGTCCTCGAACTATTCCCATATTTTTTATCCAAAATACTGAAAAAGTACCATTCCAAATCCCTAGTCTTCAACTTTGACTTGCCTAAAAAAATTCCCACAAATCAGTATATAATTTCATAAACAAGTCGCAAATTCAGAGAGAGCTTGATATACAAACATTCACAAATACATATACACACACACAAATACCAAGCTACATAGAAGTGACCTGAAGCTCCATAATTACCCTTTAATCAATGAAACCCCCCAAAAAAACCCACAATTCACTATATAATTCATAAACATGAAATTGATATGCATACATACATAAATACATATATACACACACACACACACAAACACATGCACATACCAAAGTGTTTTCCCGAAAAGTTAAATCAATAGAATTGCAAATTTGGAGAGAGGGAGAGAGAGGAGACCTGGGAGGTCCCAAGGCTCGCACTTGTAGACGTCGGTGTCGGAGATCGCATCGAATCGGAAGGGTTTGCCGCAGACCTTACGCTTGAGATAATACCGAATGAGTTCATCGTCGGTCGGGTGGAACCGGAAACCAGGAGCGAGTGAGGCCGTCTGTGGAGTTGACTCAAGAGCCATTAACGAATCGAAAAATGCAAGAATCTTGAAATTTTTAGAGAGAGAACCAGACACTGACTTTCTAGAGAGAGATATCTAGGGTTTCAACAGAGTTTCGTCATTGGATTTCGAATTATAGCGAATCAGCGATCAAAAGCTAGGGGTATATCAAAAGCTACTCTATAACCTTACAAAATTGCGTCAGATTTATAATATTTATATACATTAATTAAATATTTTACTTTAATAAAAAGTACAAATTTCACAAAACTCCGATAACTACTAATAAGTGATCATAAAACTTTAAAGTTATCACATTATCTCAATATTCGAGGCCGACCCGTTAACCGGGCTGTGAAATGAGAAATTTAACCTTATCATTTAATGTTAAATTAAAAATAAAAAATTATTATTTTTAAAATTAAAAAAATACCCTCTCTTATTCTTTTTCTTTTTTCTTTTTTGTTTCTTCTCATCATCATCTCCGACAGCAAGAATACTGCCGGCGATGAAGCAAATCGCCGCAGGCAGCGACCAAACTAGGTATCAACGAAGAAATCAAAGCAAAGACAGCTCTAGTATTGTGTATAATAAACCAAACTGCGTGTCATACATTTGCACCAACACAAAATATAGAGAGAGAGAAAAAGTAAAGAGAGAGAGAGATGGAGAAGAAGCCGTGGTTCAGCTTCAAGAGACTGGGGAAGAAGAGTTCGTGGACATGGAGGTTCAGGAGTTCTGGGTTTCGGTGGAAGAGGCTGACTTTTCAAATTGGGTTCATCCATGACTCTCTCTTCATGATCGTGTCTGTGTTTGAAGCCATTATTCTGGTCTCAACACTCTGTTTCTTCTACCTATGTTGCGGTTGTAACTTCCGAGCCTTTAATTGGAAGAATTGGGTTCCCTGATATTCTAGAGAGAGAATGGGTACGTTGGAGTGAGAAACATAGGAGGAAGATTGGGCTTGAGATGGAGGAATGGTCAAATCTTGCGTGTGATTGAATGTTCTGAAATTCAAGTCTAATGGGCCTTTTTTTTTTATTTTTTTTTTACGAAGAGCATAAAGTTTTTCTCTCATTTAAATTAGGTTCCCTGAGAAGAAAGATGAAGACGATGAGGTAGTGGAAAAAGAGAAAGGTGGGTGAGTCGTCGTGTAGCATTTTCATTCGCTCTTCTCCATATCTCTCGATGGTTCCTTAATATCTGTGACTTCGAGATTCGGCGCTTCAATGGCGTCATCGTCAAATCTTCATGACGTTGATGCATACACTTTTCATTGGTGAATCATTCTTCTCTCAATTTTGAAAAGCTTCTGGTCGTCATTCATGGTGCTCACCAGGTCGCGCTCTGGCAACCTAGTTGATCGGTAGAAGAAGGGCACAACCTTGGGTCGCCGATGAGGAATAAGCAATGGTAAGCAGCGACCAGTTTAGCGACTTCGCTGGAATGAGAGGAAGCCAGCAGCGACCTGGTTTGGTCGCTGCCGACGGCGATTAGCTTCATCGCCGGCAATATTCTTGCTACCGGAGATGATGATGAGAAAAAACAAAAAAGAAAAAAAAAAAAAGAAAAAGAAAAAGAAAAAAGGAGAGGGTATTTTTGTAATTTAAAAAATAATAATTTTTTATTTTTAATTTAACATTAAATAATAAGGTTAAATTTGTCATTTTACCGCCCGGTTAACGAGTCGGACTCGGATATTGAGGTAATGTGATAACTTTATAATAGTGTTGGGGTTTTTAGAAACAGGTTGGGGTTTTATGATCACTTATTAATAGTTTTAGGGGTTTTGAGAAATTTGCCCTAATAAAAAACGTGACTTATCACTTTTCTAAAAGCATTAAGACATGTTTGGTTGGAGAGAATAATTGAGGGAGGGAGGGAGGGATGTTATTGGGGATAAAAAATAAATCAAAGAAAAAATTGTTTTTGGTTGGTAGGGAGGGAAAAGTGAGAGGAGGCGAGGAAGTATCCTCTTTCTTTTTTATTTTATTATCACTCAAAAATTAATAATTCGTGTTTGATTGGAGAGAAGAGAAATAATGATAATAACCAACAAAATGTAAAAAAAGAAGAAGAAGAAGAAGAAAGGTGTCACCCCATCTATTCTTTCTATAATACATTCCATCCAACTAAACAAAAAAAATGAGTGAGACACCTTCCCTTACTTAGGATCTTTCATCCATCCTTTCCTCTATACATTTAATTCATTTTTTCATTCATCCAACCAAACGGAGCATTAGACAATTGTCTTACTTCTAAAGTGGTATGCCTTACATGTATCAGATATTTATTTAAAAATTTAGATATAAAATAGTTAAGAAAAAAATTTATTGCTGTCTTTGATATACAAGAATAGAATAAAATGGAATAGTTATTCTTATTTTATTATTTGGTTGCAAATATAAAATGTGTATGAATGGAATAATAATAACTATTCTAATATTTGAAAATGATTGTTGAATTTTTTATTAAAAAAAATTTTTTAAGATGTTTTATATAAAATAAATGTGGCAAATTTTTTTTTGAATAAAGTTGTTTTGTGGTTTAAATAAATTAGGTTTGTTAAGTAGAAAATTTTGGATATTATTAATGAAATTTTAAGAAAGTTCTTTAGATGCTTTGTGAGGTATAATGTTGCATTGCAAAATAAGTTGTGGTTCAAAAAAAGAAAAAAAAAAGAAAAGAAAAGGAGGAGTGAGAGAAGAAAATTTTGAAGAAACCTGTTTATTAATTTGAGATGAGACCAAATTTTCAGGGTAGGTCTTTTATGAAAAATTCAGTTGATGACGTGGGTTCGACTAGCAATAGGTACGAGACGTTTCAATGAAGGAAAGGAAAAATCTGATGTGACCTATAGGTGACAAATACTCGTAACCCCCACAACAAATATTGAGATTAGAATAGTTGGAATACTATTCGTAGTTATTGACGGTGATGGAACGTAATTCTATACGTCGGTCATGTGCATCCGTCAAAAAGACTTGGAAAGATAAAAAGTCTAGAATGTTCCGTAGTCAGCAATGATGTGTCATTATATGTATAAAACCACGTAGGTACACCGTACATGTATTGAATGTCTTCATGTCCATACAAATTTATAGGTGTTCGTGTATACAAGTAGTCCATATTCTCCATAATAGACTTGATAGTTAAGCAAGTGCAAGTTGAAGGGTCAAACTTGAGGTTTTTTTTTTTTTTTTTTTTGTCAATTATATTTGGTTCAAGTCAAATTATGAAACCATTTTGACAATTCAATCAATAGAATTTGTTGTATTCACGCATGGACCTACTATAGACGCATCACGCATGAACTTTTTTAATTCTTGCTATATACTAATATTTTTGTTAAATTTCGTGGAGCAGATTCAGTGGATGTATTTGAGTGCTCGAGAATTCAACTTTTTACTGTAGTTAGTTTTTCTTCTTATTATTATTTTTTATTGTTGTATTGATAGAAGTGAATTTTTAAATATATCTTTATTAAAAGACTAAGTATTATAGAAAAATTAATACACTTGTTTAATCAAATTAATGTCAAAAGAATATATAGTAAATCAATTTTTTAAATGAGACGTGTTTTGAAAAATCCCAAAATAAAAAAATGGACAAGAATTTTGACAATATAAGTTGGTGTTTTTTTATTTTTTTTAAAACCTGGACAAAGAAGAAAAACAGAGGGAAGATCCCTCTCAATGGCAGTAATAAGGCAGGAAGGGCAAACATGGCAAAATGAATCAGCCGATCTGGAGAGCAGGGAGCATAATATTGCAATGTCATGAGCAACCTTGTTGCAGACTCGAGGAGTCCAGACAAGGCAGATCTTCACGAAAGAATCCCTTAACAATTAAACATCTTCAAGAACTCTAGCTGAGACTCTTGAGCAAACACTCAAGACTCTCCTTCAAACCGAAGCTTCAGAAACTTCTGCATTGAAAACCCGAGGGGAAGAAAAACGAACAAACACCCATAGGATTGCCTGCGTGATTCCTAAGGATCAGACCTCCACTTGCCTCCTTAGAGAAGGGATTACAAGCAGCATCGATCGGAGTTAAGTTTCGGACAATTTGGAGCATGGAGAGAAGAAGAAAGCAACGGGGGAGGAACACCTAGGCCAAGGAGGCAGAAATTTCCTTGAATTTAGAGAAGTTTGCCAAAGCTCTATCCACTATGGCGGCAAGCTCCCATCTGGAATTATTAAAAACCCAATCATTCCTGCTTTTCCAGAGAAGGAACGTACACTCAAGAGTATCCGAAGATTTAGGGAAGACGGACGCTGGCCAGATCAAGAATTTTGAGCCAGAATTGTTGCCATGACATGAATCTGGACGAACGTAAATCCAGTCAGTCTAATTGGGGAAAGTTACCAAACCATTTGAGCAACCGGGCAAATTGCAAAGCAAATGAACTGTAGGATTCTTCTTCAAAACCACAAAACTTACAAATTGCTTCTGAAACAAAATCTTTCTACGTTTCAGATTTAGCAGGACCGGAAGCCTATCAAGACTGCACTGCCATAAGAAAAAGAGAGAATCTTGTTTTTGGATTTTAAGTTCCAAATGCTATGTCACTTCCCTTTTAAATTCTTGAGGAATGCTACATTCCGGGGAATCACTGAGAGCTTTCGGAGGATTCAAGAGGAGAAGAGCAGCTTCATAAGCCGATTTTACCGAGAAGGATCCATTATGACTAAAGCCCCAAATCAATTGGTCAGCACCTCCTGCATCTGGGGGGATGCATTTATATAACTTGAGATTGAACCATCCAAATTATATCTCTGAATCATTTCTATAACTTGGGTTTGAACCATCCAAATTTTATCCCTGAACCATTTATGATATAACATAGGGAACATGGGATATAATTTAAAGCCATGTCATTAACACCTAACTTGGAATAAAAATTTCAATGACACCCAATCTTACAATGAACACATTTCACTACAAAACAAACCAAAAATATCGATCCCCAAAATAACTTTTTTTTACCATTGTCCATTACAGATGTTTTGAAACATTTGATATTTAAATTTTTTAAGTGACACAACTGTTGCACTTTTCATGAAAAGTTGAACACACAAATTGATTTATTCAGGTAACCAGAGCAAAGGTCAAGACAGTAAAAAACCTATCTTTCCCATTGCCAGAGCAGAACTAAATTGACTTTAATTTTTTTGGTAAATGAACTAAATTGACTTCTATAGCTTATGATATAAAGCAAACATTTTATTCAAATTTAACCGATTTGAGCGTACAAGGGCATGTCAATGGTCAAAAGAACATTGATCTAGTGTTCAGATTACAACAGAAAAACCTACAAAAATAGGAAACATCAGTACCACAGATAACTAGACAAAATGAACAGCCCTTCCAATCCTCGGTTTTCATCTTTCAGAACATCAATACATGATTGAAGAACTTTAATCATGGATCAGGCCAACATGTAGGAAAACAGATTACCTGACTGTCACAAACTAGACACGATGAACAACCCTTTTCAAGTAGTCGTTCTCCTTGGTCAGAAGATCAATCCGTGATTGAAGAACGTTAATCATGGCTTGGGCCCTCATCACTTCAATCTTCAACGTCTCCCTATCCATAGAAACGTTAAGGATCTCATTTCCCAGATTTAAGAACAGCAATACATGATTGAAGAACTTTAATCATGGATCGAGCCAACATGTAGGAAAATAGATTACCTGACTGTCACAAACTAGACATGATGAACCCCCCTTTTCAAGTCATCGTTCTCCTTGGTCAGAAGATCAATCCGTGATTGAAGAACGTTAATCATGGCTTGGGCCCTCATCACTTCAATCTTCAACGTCTCCCTATCCATGGAAACATTAAGGATCTCATTTTCCAAATTGCTGATGAATTTCAAATAACCAGGAGGCACGGATTTCTCAAGAGTAGCAGCGTCAAATGTAGGTGGGTCAACCGGATGACTGGTTTTGGGTTCAATAGATTCTAATAAAGGGAACTCCAAAGGTGCACAAGAGAACTTTATTGGTGTGGTGGTTGTTGTGGTGGATATACAAAGATCCTGTGTTGTAATCGACTCTTCTGAACCATTTGCATGGTGCTTTGATCTTTTATTTTCGATAAAACAGAGGGGTTCTGGATCAGCAATACACGGTAAAGGAAAATCCTCTGACCTTTCTCTCTTGCAAACAAACGGAATATTTTTCGAATTACTTGGAAGTTCATTTCGACAAATAGAAATAGGGCCCTCACTGATCGAATGAGTATCCTGTATCAATCAGACGCTATTAGTGGCAATTATTGTGTATATTTAAAGCTTTAAAATATTGGAAGTAAATTTGAAAGAGCTGTGAGATAAACAGTTCATTGTACAGGAATACCAAACAAACAACCTGATATATATGTAGGTTTATATTGGCAAATCATGTAGGTATCGGGCAGATATGTAGAGTCTTACAAGGAAATAATAAACATTGTCTGGGACAAATTACCAATATCATAATAAATCCCATTGCAGATCCCAGAAAAAAAAAAACTGCACGCTGCATGCGCATATGCACATATATGTTGGCATCAAAATAGTATAAGTCAGACATTGGGTTCCAAACAAGTAAAAAGCACTTCATTGGACAAACAAAGCCAGGTACAAAACAATATCATATCCAATGCAAACAAATCAACACGGTGAGAGCATTATACACCACATCATAACTTGATTGTATTTGGCCATAGCAAGATTCCATTACTTGCAAAGGTCATGCAGAATATGATTCATTCATTCATTTATTTATTTATTTTGGAGAATTGATCATTTATTTAATTACATTATCACTTTTAAAAATGGTATCTCCTCTCATGAAGGTGCAATTCAATCCCAAGTTAGAACTTAGTATTGTTTCTGTATATCATACTTGCTTATCAACAAAAAGAAAAAGGAACCAAAGGGCCAATGGCCCAACGATAGCAAGCCCCTACTTCTCAAAGGGAGGTCAGGGGGTCAAGGCTTGGTGGAGGCATGGGTGTGTGTGAGTACCAACTAAGAAAAAAACAAAAACAAAAGAAAAAGAAAAGGAGGTATTTTGCAATAAGGTGAGTGAAAAAATTTCTTTGCCATACACTAGAAGGATGTGGGAGACAAGGAAGATTCTCCTTGCATCATCACTTTCTTTGTAGTAAAGTGAGTGACAAACTAGATAAACTTTTGTATAAAGGCATCATTTCACAATGAAGGGATTCAATGCTAGAAAACTCACTCAAAGTAACATCAGTCCTCTTCACCATTCCTCCACCAATATCTCATCATCAATGTTAAACTTGCTTTACTCAAATCCTCAAATTCAAAAAGGTATATAAATACCGTATAAAGGTGCAGTCATATAGGTGTTACTGCACTGACTTCTACTTGGTTCCATATGTTCTCATGGCTATAAAACCATATCCATCCTTGCCCCTTTCCCTCCCTTATTTTGATAACCATCTCCCCTCCCCCAACCTCATAAAAAGAAGGCGAGAGAGCGCGCACGCACATACTGAAGTCTGAAAGCTGTTCATTTTACCATATTACCCTAAAATATCTATAATTATTAAAAATAAAAAACATTTATGCAACATTTGAAATAAAGAGTTCCATCTAAACCTTTACTTTGAGAAGCCAAAAAAAAAAAAAAAAAATTAATTCAAATACTCGAAGGAAAATGTTCTTTTATGCAAGCCAAAACAGCTGGACTGTCTGGGCTATTGATTTCATGGCCATTGGATGCAACTAAGTGGGACCCGTGCGGATCCCACTTTGTTGCATCCAATGGCCATGAAATCAGTCAGGCAAAGTTGTTTGGCTGTTTGGCTCACATAACATACTAGAATTGCGTCGTAATCATGGTTATTGTGTTGTTCACCATAAACTTGTTCTCCCTGCTCAAATAATGAAATTGGCCAAGTTTGGAATAGATATCCATTCAAGTGATTTGAGTAGAACTCAAGAACTTAATGAATTTATTTTATTTAAACAAAGAGAAGAAAAGGAAAAATAAATAAAATATAATAATAATAATAATAATAATACTGTTGTAAAATTAAAACCATATGATCTCTATCTATTTATCAGTCTTTATATATACCCCAATTCCCAACAAGCAACCACAGGCCTTCATTGTCGGCGACTTGAATAGTCTCACTACTTTCTGACAGTTGCCATAACCCACCACCATCTTTGCAACACAGGCTCCACCATATTGCCAAACCCACTAGCAAAACAAACCATTAACAGTTGTACTCATCTCCTCCACTTGGTCTATTCAAGTTCATCTGCCAGAATCGTATTTTGGCAGGAATACATGTAGAAGAGAGAAGTGGTTTGGTGGACTAACACAACATTGCAGAGGTGGGACATCTGAGAGACCGAAGATTGAAAGACTGCTTCTCAATCTTCACTAGAGTCTTGAACGCCAATGACTTTAATGTCCCAAGTCTCGTCTCTTCCATTGTATTGCAGAGCGGGGATATTGAGAGGGTTGAGAGACTATTAATTTTATTTAAGGGTGTATCCATCATTAAAATAAAATTTTAAAATCCCTTGCCACTGAGCATGTTCTATGTTCAGTGATAAGTGAAGGGACTTACATTTAAAATTTTGGCTACTTTTCAGCGAAACTTATTTTTTTAAGTGATACTAAATTTATGTTAACACACTTAATTAAGAAATCACTGAATCTTTTCAGTTTTAAGCACTTAATTTGATTATCAAATATCACCTAAACACTTACTTTGTTTTACGTTATTTTTACATTTTCCTTGTTTATCAGTGTGTCCAAAAAGGTTGCAGGTTTCCCTGCATCACAATTCGTACAATTTTCATCTTTTCCGAGTTGTGTCTCACCTGGGAAAAATTATTGCTTTTAACATTCTAAGGAATACTTACCAGATATGGTTAATCTTTTATGTGATCCTAGATTCATTATTAGCAAAAATTTGCAAGTATGACGGCAACAATGAAAAGAGTTAGCAAGTCCAGATTGGCCACAGTAGTACTATATGTCTGTATGCGAAATGTGAAAAAAATAGAAAAGATTGTCAAGCATCTCAAAGGCATGTTGCTATCATGCCTTTTTAACAGTAAACCGATCTTTGATCTTGAGCTTCTTATTTCTAATAGCATTTTACGTTGTTCCACTACAAGCTTCATTTTTCCCCAGGATATATACCTTATAATTTCTTCTCCTCATAAAATCAGGGGCTGGACTTGAGGTGGGCTGGGGGGTGGGTGCCGGCCATCACTCCCCCAATTTTTTTTTTTCAAAATGCTTAACCGAAGGTGCCTGTTAATTGTTAATAATGGCAAGTTTGAAGAAAACATAACACGTGGCCCCTCCTAAGTCCATTGAATCTTTTTAGTCTACTTTGAACTAAAGCATCCCAATATGGTAAAAAAAAGGTACATTTTTACAGTAGTCCTTGCTACAATATACCAATAAAGATATATGTATATATACTTTATGAATTCAAGAAAGTGAGGAACAAAAAAGTATGATGGGAACTTGACGGACCTCATTTATCGGCTGCCAACATGTTCTCTTTTTTCTTCCCCCCCTTCTCGTATCAATTTTTCTGCTTCTTTTTTTTATGCAAGTTGTATATATCTCATTTTTTAGGTATATGTTTCTCATCTTTTAGGTTATATTAGGCCTGTGTCCTTGTATATAACCATAGATTGCAAGGCTGCAAGCTCAACCTCTCAATCTAACAGATTCAAGAATGCCATTTCAGTGAGTGTCCTCATGATAGACATCTCAGATCTATATTGTAATGAAAATTATATTTCACCATTTATATGTTAAAAAAAAATTAATTATACAGAATTAGTTCTCCCCCCCACCACCCACCCCACCAGCCTAAATATTTGTGGGTCCACCCCTGCATAAAGTTGCATTATCCCTTCCAAAGAAAGAAAAGGAAGAATTCTTATTCCAAAGTATCCTTCAACCAATTAGGTACACATTGTAATCCAATTATTAACCTCATTAGTTTAGTGGCTCAAGTACTTTGAAAATGGGTAAAGTGGACAAGGACATTTCGAATGCCTTATGTGTGAATTTGCAATAGGTGAGATATTTGACACATGGCAGAATGGCTATGGTATGGGAAAACCCATCCTGATCTGCTTCACCTAAGTGAACCACAACCCTAACACACTCTGACCCTAATAGGACCCGCATCCCATCATGGACTCTGATTAACTTTGAGATATCCATCCCGCCCCCTTTCCCCAGGCTTATTAGTACAGAACAGAGAGGACAAGTTGGAGAGACCCGTTCAACAAATCTATCTATAAAATATGTATGAGTGTTGTTGAATGTAAAAGGCTCTTGTAAGCCACAAATTCTCATTAGCCATACTCCTAATTTATATTAGGACTGAATATTATATAAGTGGAAAGTAAATCAAATCACTTATCCTATGCCTCTAATAGGCACATGATGAAAATAATATCATATAAAATCAAATTAAGATCAGATAAAATCCAATCCCTAAAGATACTCCCAATACAGATCAAATCCCTATATTTTCTCCCAATACTCTCCCTCAAGCTGGAGCAAAGATATCAACTAAGCCCAGCTTGCCAATACTAGAGTGAAGAGCAGATTGTCCTACTGACTTTGTGAACATATCGGCAAGCTGATTAGTAGAAGAAACGAAGGAAGTATGGATAACTCCACATCGCACTTTCTCCCTGAGAAAGTGAATATCAACCTCAATATGTTTTGTCCTCCCATAAAGAACTAAGTCAGATGCAAGTATAATAGTAGACCGGTTATCACAAAAGAGAGTTGATGAACTAAATACAGGGAATCCTAGCTCGGTCAATAGGGAATGAAGCCAGAAGCAGAGCGATGGTCAGTCAGAGATCTAGCATAATCAGCATCGGTGTAGCATGAGATAAGAGGTTGTGGTGTGGATTTGTAGAATAGACCAAGTCCTAGGCAGGACTTGAGGTGCCGAAGAATTCGGTATACTTCATCTAAGTGTGAGGTCCGAGGAGCATGCATGAACTGACTCACAACACTAACCGCAAATGTGAGATCAGGACTAGTGGTTGTTAGATAAATTAAGCGGCTAACAAGGCGCTGATAAGCAGACAAATCTGGAAGAAGGTCTCCAGACCTGGCATGAAGCCAATGCGTCGAATCCATAGGAGAGGATCCATAATACTCCCCCTGAAGCCGAAAACCAAGAGGAGGATCCATGTAAGTTTCTTCTGTCAAATCCCTATGA